GCGTCCGTGTCCATGGCAACTAGCTGCTTCTGGACCGCCTCTGATGTGCTGGACGCCACCTTTTTTTTTGTTGTTTCGTTTCGAGCAAGCAAAAAAGGTTGAAAAAAATCAGAAAAAAAAAAAAGTGGCAACCCCCACCAGACAGTCTTGGTTCACCAGAACGATGGACATAAAAAAACGAATAACGCGAGAGAGAGAAAGAGAGAGAAAGAACGAGAAAGAGAGAGAGAGAGAGAGAGAGAGAGAGAGAGAGAGAGAGAGAGAGAGAGAAGCAGACAGACAGACAGACAGACAGACAGACAGACAGACAGACAGACAGACAGAGACACAGAGACACAGAGACACAGACAGACAGACAGACAGAGCAAGAGAGAGCGGAGACGACGGGCGAAAGGCGAAACAACGCAAAACACAAAACGGCACACAAACTCCTCCCACTCATGCACGCAAAAATAAACAAACCAGCACGACGTTGTTTTTCGAGTACAAGCAGCACCAATGAAATAGCTGCGAGTACGTGTACCATCAAACAACAAGAGATACCCTTGCGATAGGTGGGAGTGGGGAACATAAGAAGACAAGGCGGGGGGGTACGTAAATTCCCACAGACAACACACACACACACACACACACGTGGAACAGGCAGGCAGAACAGCGAGAGAGAGAGAGAAAAGCCAAAGCGTGATGTGAGCGCGCAACAACAACAACAAAACAACAACAGCAACAACAACAACAGCAACAACGACAACAACAACAACGACAACAACAAAACACACCTGCATGAGAGCAGTGAGCACCGTCAACCAGCCATCCTTGCCCCTCCTCTCTCCCCCTTCCCCCAGCTCGGCCAGGGCGCGGACCACCCCCTCCAGCTCCGGGTTGATGCCCCGCAGCTGGCGAGCCTTGAGCGAGACCTTGGGGTTCAGGGCCGGGGGGAGCAGCCCCTCCTCCCCCTCCTCCCCGCCTCCCCAGCCCTTGAAACCTCTCGCTCTGACCTCGGTGGCGGTCTCCCGCTTCTCCGCCGCGGCGCCTGGTTCGTTCGGGAAGGAGAGAGAGGAGAACAGCGGGCAAAGAAGGCCAACGAACATCAGCATCGTTGTCAGGAGAGGGAGAGCAAGCAAGGCCAACAAGCAAAGCAAACATGAGTATTAGGAGAGGGACAGCAGGGAGGCCAACAAAACTATCGTCATCAGGAGAGGGAGGGCAGGGAGAGCGAACAAACAAATAAAATATCATCGTCATCGTCATCGTCAGGAGAGATAGGGTAGGGAGGTCAACAAATAAACTAACATCATCATCACCAGGAGAGGGAGAGCAAGCAGGGAGGCCAACGAACACAACAAACATCACCATCAAACGATTTCGTGATCCAAACGGACGGCGAACTAAAGGCTGTGGAAACGTCAAAAAGATCGAAAAGAGCATATCATCATCGAACAAACCCAGCAATACGAGCCATAACGAACGGCTCTTTCCACCGAACGAAGGAAAAAGAACCGGTCTCTTCACTCGCAACAGAGACACGCGCGCATTGACCGACCCGCGTGGCCGCCCCCTCGCCCATCGCAACAAAAAACGCCCAATGTATTCTGTTGTAGAAAGGAAAGGGGGACACAATAGGACCAACGAGAGCGCCCGCTTTAGAACTATACTATTATAACAGCAACATCGAAAAAAAACTCTTCCAAAATCATGGCGGCGTCGCTGCTAAAGAGCACAAGCAGGAAAACTGTTCTCCTTTACCAAACAGACGAGCGGTCAACGGCCGGGCGACTTCTACTACCGTGGCGAGCAGGTGGATGCCACGGGAGGATTCAGGGGATACCACGGCCCCTTCACGATGGGTACACCCCGAAGAGCTTTTGAGAGAGACGACGTTCCGATTGTTGTTTGATACATATGCGCGCGGCCCTCAGGCGTGCCCTCACTCTGTTCAGTTCCTGTCTACCAGAAAAATTACGTAATTACCCCTCCACCACCACCGCCTTCGGCGATGCGAGAGCCTGGTCCGGCGAGAACCCGGCGTGCTCCGTCCCGGCTTTCCAGGGATGCGAGGTCAATGGCCTAACGACTACAACGGCATGCACGACTATGAGTACACCCCCCCCCCCCCCCCGCCATTACCAAGCCCCCCCCCTCCCTTCTCCCCCGGTGGTTTTC